TTGCTTCCTGGCTCTGAGGTGAGAAGTTTTGCTCCACCATGCACCTCTGACAAGAAATGCTGCCTTGTTTTAGGCTCTAAACAATGAGGCAAGTTGGACATGCGCTGAAGTTCATAACCATGAACCCAAATAAACCTTTACTTTTTTATAGTTAATTAATAAATCTATTTTGTGACAGTGACAGAAAGCTGAGTATCATATGGTTCAATTATACAGCAAGGCAATAACTGTAAGAGAATTTAGGCAATTGTTCTCGGCAGTGGCAGGAGGAAGGTGGTTGAGCCTGTGAATCCTCCCTCCTTTTACTCTTGTGGTCTCCCCATTCAGATCTACTGTCTTCCTCAGAACCTTTTGCTCATGAAGGTTTTTTACATTTATTTTTATTTGTTTTTTATTAGAAAGAAAATTATTTTACATGTCAATCCCAGGTCCCTCTCCCTTCCCTCCTCCCCTGTACCCCCCCAACTAACACCCTACCTATCCCACCATACCCTTTCTGCTCAGGGAGGGTGAGGCCTTCCATGGGGGCCTTCTAAGTCTATCATATCCTTTGGGATAGGGCCTAGGCCAACCCCCTTGTGTCTAGGCTTAGGGAGTATCCCTCCATGTGGGATGGGCTCCCAAAGTCCATTCCTATGCTAGGGATAAGTACTGATCCACTACAAGAGGCTCCAAAGATTTCCAAGGTCTCCTCACTGACACTCACATTCAGGGGGTCTTGATCAGTCCCATGCTAGTTTCCCAGCTATCAGTCTGGGGACCAAGAGTTCTCCCTTGTTCAGGTCAGCTGTTTCTGAGGGTTTCACAACCTGGTATGGACCCTTTTGCTCATCAGTCCTTCTTCTCTGCATCTGGATTTCAGTTCAGTTCAAGGTTTAGTTGTGGGTGTCTGCTTCTACTTCCACCAGCTGCTGAATGAAGGGGATCAGATGGCATATAAGTTAGTCATCAATCTCATTATCAGAGGAGGGCATTTAAGGTAGCCTCTTCACTGTTGCTTAGATTGTTAGTTGGTGTCATCTTTGTAGATCTCCAGACATTTCCCCCATGCCTGATTTCTCTTTAAACTTATTATGTCTCCCTCTATTATATTATCTCTTATCTTGCTCTCTTCTGTACTCTTCTGTACATGAAGGTTTTTGTTTCTTCAATAAAGATTTATTCATTTTCTATGTGGACTGTTTTGCCTGCATGTATTTTTGTATATCATAATAGTATTTGGTATCTTCAGAGGTTAGAAGAGGGCATTGGATCTCCTAGAATTAGAGTTATAGATGTTTGTAAATCACCATGTAGGTACTGGGAATCAAACCCAAGTCCTCTCCAAGAACAGCAGATTTTCTTAACCACTGAGTCCCAGTCCTCATAACTTTTAACATAAATCCAGTCCCTTTGACCATCTGGAAGATAAGACCTTAAAATGAATTCTGTGTTAACTTTACCTTCCTCAACCAGCAGCAAAGCAATAGAAGACCATTAACTTTAAACTTCATATGTATTCTGGGAAACAGAAGTTAGAGCAGCAATAAGATGCTGTTTAAGCTTTAAAATTGTTTTAAACTTTATTTTATGTGTGGGTGTTTCACTTGCACGTATGCACCACATGTGTGATTAGTGCCAGAGCAGAGTTTAGAGCCCCATGGAACCAGATATACAGATCGTTGTGGGTCATGATGGGGATGCTGGGAATTGAATTTGGCTCTTCAGTAAGAGTATTCAGTGCTCTTAACCACTGAACCATCTCTCTAGCCTCAATGTAGAAGCTTTTGAATGAGGAGGCGTGGGTAGGATTCTTGTTAAAGGAATAAGCAGTTTTAGTGCAACATCTCTGAGTTTTATTGAGACTGAATGATTAAGATTTCCAATAAAACTAGTAACAAAATAAACTTGTAACAAGTATTGCTGCTTAAAAATAATATGAGATACCAAAACACTGCAATGAGTTATGTGAATAGCAAGATCTTACAAGAGGACGTGTTGGGAAGTGTGTGCATTAGGCTTCCAGACTTACCATTTTGCCTCTCACTCTCAAATTCATTTTCCCAGTTTTTATTGTCTCCTTTAAAGAGTAGCTCCTGGCAGTGTGCCGGTGCTCCTAGATCTGCTTCCAGGGTGCATGCTTAGGTTATGCTGAAACATGCAACTGTGGGGCAGAAATGAATGACCTGATACTTTTCAAGTTTGTTATCCCTCCAAATCAAATAACTATTGGCATCTTGACAAAGGGTTGTCCTAGTTGGCTTTTCAGATGCTATGATTAAATACTGACCAAAACCATCTTGGAGAGGAAAGGTTTATTACAGCTTACAAGTTACAGTGCATGTCAAGGGAAGCCAAGGCAGGGACTGAAGCAGAGGTGCAGGAACACTGCTCATTGGCTTGCTTTGCTAGGCTTGCTCAAGCTGCTTTCTATGCAACATAGGATCACCTGCCCAGGGGCGGTACCACCCAGAGTGGGCTGGGCTTGCCCACTGCAATCAGTAATCAACCACATCAGTCTGTAATCAAGAAAATGCCCCATAGAAATGTCCACAGGCAAATCTCATGGAGTCAATTCCTCAACAGAGGTTCTCTTTTCCCAGGTGACTCTAGTTTGTGTCAAGTTGATAAAAATTAACCAGCACATGGGCCATGGCAGAGAACAAGATAGATATGAGATGTATGGAACTAAAAGAGAGCTGGTAAAGTTGCCTTTCAGTCAGAGGTGTGCATAGTGAGCTTCTAATAGCACCCAGTATTTTACTGCCAGAAACATTCAATGATAAAGCATGAACCATGAACCCTTGATAACTGTGGATTCTGTGCCTGCAGATTCAGTCAACTTGGATTCAGCCAACTGCAAATCATGCATTGAGGAGTTAGGTCTGTGAAAACTGTGTTCATAGTGAGCATCAACAGACTTTTTCCTTGTCATTAAATCATCACAGCAGTAATTTACACAGTGTTTATATAGTATTAGGTGTCATGATTAACCTAGAGACAATTTAGAGCACATAGGAGGATGTGTGTAAGTTCTATGCAGAGACAATGCTGTTTCAAATGAGTGACTTGAGCATCTGAGGATTTAGGTATCTACAAGGGATCCTGGAACCAGCCCCATGAAGATGCTGAGCGATAATGGCACAATTATGACTACACTATCCTTTGAACTTTGTCTTTATTGAGACAAGGATTTGGGTGCAGATGGTTTATTTGGGAAGCAGAACAAGGGCTGTGAGGGGTGGGGGTGGGGGTGGGAGTGGGGGCAGCACTGCTCTAAGAATGTGCTCAGGAGGTCACTTCTGTGAGTAAAGGGGACTGATGGTGCTGGGAAGTCCACAGACTGCCCACTAACAGAGGAAACTATGTAGAAAAATGTTGTTGCTAGAGAGGAGAATGCTGGAAGAACATGTGGGCCTGTGTATACAAAGATTGAACCCTGAATCTGTGGCATGTTCAGAAATGGCTGAGGAAAGTGACACATAGGTAAGAAGGTGTTTGCTAGAGTTGAATAGAATTCCTGAACATATATAGGCCTCAACCCATACAAGAGTCATCTTTTCATCTCTGTGGGGGGATTGACTCCAGGACTCCCAAGGATACCCAGTTCAGGTTCCTTGTAGAAAATGGTATGGCATTTGTGTATAACCAACACGATCCTACTGTGCACTTTAAATCATCTCTAGATTATTTAGTATGAGGTGAGTTTACTACTCTAACAAATACCCAAGATAATCAGCTTAAAAAGAAAGGCTGTTGTAGCTCACTGTTTTGTAGCTCATGATTGATTGACCCTGTTGCTTTGTACCCATGGCAGTACATAGTGGTGGAAGCATGTAGGAAGCCTCATCTCATGGCTGGGCACAAATGAGAGGAAGAGGAGGGAGCTGGGGGTCCTATATGCCCTTTTGAAGGCAGGCCCCTAAGGATCCCATACTTTTTACTTTTTATGTAGCTGGAAACGGCTCTCTAGAACTATCAATAAACACTGTTACATCAATTTGCCTAAAAATGTCCTGATGTCATTGTTTTTAACAACTGAGTAATACTCTATTATATAAATGTACCACATTTTCTTTATCCATTCCTCAGTTGAGAGGCATCTAGGCTCTACTACAGAGCTATAGTAATAAAAACAGCATGACATTGGTATAAAAACACATACATTGATCAATAGAATTGAATAAAAGACCCAGACATAAATACACACACCTATTGACACTTGAGTTTTGACAAAGAAGTCAAAATTATACAATGGAGAAAAGAAAGCATCTTTAACTAGTGGTGCTGGCATAACTGTATGTCAGCACATAGAAGAATGCAAATAAATACCTGTCTATCAACCTGCACAAAACTCAAGTCCAGATGGACCTACAACCTCAACATAAATCCTGTTACACTGAACCTGATAGAAGAGAAAATGGGGACTAGAACATCAGTAGCACAGACACTATAATCAACAAGTAATAAATGGGACCTCATCAAACTGGAAAGTATCTGTAAGGCAAAGGACACTGTCAATGGGACAAAATGGCAGCCTACAGAATGGGAAAATATCTTCACCAACCCTACGTCTGACAGTGGGATGATCTCCAAAATATATAAAAAGAACTCAAGAAATTAGACATCAAAACCCCAAATAATCCAACTAAAATAGGATACAGACCTAAACAGAATTCTCAACAGAATAATATCAAAATGAAGAGAAGCACTTACAGAATGTTCAAAATCCTTAGCTATTAGGGAAACCCAAATCAAAATGACTCTGAGATTCCATCTCATAGCTGTCAAAATGGCTAAGACAAAAAAACCACTAATGACAGCTTATGCTGGAGAGGATGTGGAGCAAGGGGAACACTCTTCCATTGCTGGTGGGAGTGCATACTTGTACAACCACTTTGGAAATCAATATGGTGGTTTCTCAGAAAATATGGCATGAATCTACCCCAAGATCCAATGATACTACCCTTGGGTATATTCCCAAAGGATGCTCATTAATACCACAAAGACACTTGCTCAACTATGTCCAGAGCAGCTTTATTTGTAATAGACAGAACTAGAAACAACACAAAGCACTTCCTTAAAGGGTGTGTCAGGATTTAGCAGAGGCAGCTTGATGTGGGAAGCATGGGCATCACATTGCCATTCAGGTCTGCTCCCAACTGAGAGGAAAGTGGTCTGTAGAAATGCTACTGAAGAGGGTCCTCTGGGCCTGTGGCACATCAGCCCCTGGATTGGGTGGGTGGAAGGATTTATTCACCTTTTTCTTCCCCACTGACTGTCTAGAGACATTCAGTGTCCTCCTTGGTCTCCAAACACTTCTTCAATCTGAGAATTGAATGGATTCTCCTTTCCTAGGATCTGAGGCCATTGGGACTGTATCTTCTTCCAGACACGGTCTGCCAGCAGCAGTGAAGCCACCTGCAAGACAGAGGGAGAAGGAGAGACTCAACAATAAGGAACTGACTAGCAGGCTTGGGATGCAGCTCAGTGAGCTGAGTACTTGACTAGCACACAGAAGCCCAAGGTTTACTTCAAGTGCCACATAACAGAGCACTGAGTCATATGACTAATCATACCACTTACGAGGTAGAAGCAGGAGGATCACAAGCTCAAGTTCATCCTTGGGCTACATAGAGTGTTTGAGACCAACTTAGTATACATGAGACCTTGTCAAACAACAATGAAACTGACCATCAAGATTCAGTACATTTCCTCTTAAACCTTTTATCACTGTTAGTATTATCTAAGAGAAACAATTTAAAAGAAGAAGAATTTCTTCTACCCAGGGCCCATAATCACATCATGAAGCAAGAGGATGGTAAAGGCAAGCTCTTCACCTAATGGCAGCCAGGAAGCAAAAAGGAGACAGGTAGGGGCCCACATTCAGGGACTCCTTTGCTTTAGCCAGGTTCTGTATCCTAAAGTTTACTTCATCTCTCACAATAGCACCATTAGCTGGGGAATCTAGGATTTAACATTAGAGTATGGGGTTCATTTCAAGTTCAAAACTCAGCATCATCTATGGTGGGAAGATCTGAGGACCGTGTCTGAGTTCCCTTTTTCCATATCTGTGTATTCAGTCTCTTCCCTTGAGATGGGTGGGACCTATCACTTTGTCCTAAGTGATATAAGATGATAGACAGCAGTCACTTCAGTGATTGTGTCTTCTTCTGTAGAACTTGGTCTTGCTAGGCTGATGACATAAGAAGCTGTGAGCTGATACTAGCCTCCAACTAAGGTTCAGCAAGAAGCTGGGTCCTCAGTCTGATGCTGAATCTGTCAACACAGGTTGAGTGTGATGTTGTCCCCCAGTTGTGTCTCTGGACGACCCCAGAGCCTGCATAACACATCATGATTGTAGTTTTGCGACATTTTAAGGACAGGACCAAATTAAGCTTTGATCATCAAAAACTGCAAAGTAACAGATGTGTATCATTTTAAGTTCCTGGATTTGTGATTTGGAAATATAAAACAAGTGCATGTTCTCAAAAACCCATTTCCCTGCATTCCAGTAGATAACTAGCAACTATTCCTTGCTGATGAATAGAGAAAGCCTCCCCTGGAGGAACTCCTGACCTCGTCTAGGAGCCAGGTATGTGGAATGGCCCCATACCTGGGGGGCTGTGAGGGAGAGCTACAAACCAGAAGGGGAGGAAATATCAACTCTGGCTGCAAAGGAAAGGGCAGGCTCTGTTGGGAGAAACTGAATTTTCAAAGGTAGGTCCTGGATGTTTCTTGGGGAAGGTGTACACATGGCAGAGGTCATGGTGTATACAGATGGCACATAGGACATGGAAAGAAAATGGTGTGGTCAGTGAGCTCCCGGCATCTAGCAGATGAGAGTGTTCAGTAGATTGCTAGGGCTTGCATCCTCAATAGACATGGAATGGAATGTGGATTTCTTGGCTGGAGCAAGAGACGGCTTGTGTCGGGCACAGCAGGCTGAGCTCTGGCTCCTCTGCCAAATTCCTCTTTCTTGGCTTCTGTAGATTTATGCTAGATTTGCTTTGTCCCAGTGGTAGCAGGATCTAGTATTGGTTGTCCAGTCCTCTGCCCATCTCTGTGCGCCTTGGATAATAAGGTTTTTTGCTCAGCAGATGATACATTTAGCAAATGGGGCTGGCCAATCCTCAGGGCCAAATGGCAGTAACTCAACAGTAATTTTTAATGCTGAAATTAAGAGAAATGTGATTATCGATGGCCTGAGAGGGGAACACACTGTGGACTAGAAGGGACACTGTCTTCAAGGGCAGTTCACCATACCAGTTGACAGCTCTGTGTGACATTGGGTAGCTTTCTGGAACTCTGTGGGCCAAATTGCACAGTAAGTAGGACAGAGTCAATGATGAAAAGCTCTCTCTGGGTCTAAACTGTGTGTAATATTTTAGTGATTGTTAGAGAAAACCAGAACAGACTGAGTCATTGCATTAATCAGCCCCAGAATTTTTATGTATTCCTGAACCCTCTGAAGTGGACCTGAAGAGAATTCCATCCAATTAGAATATTCTTTTTAGGTACTTCAGATCAAACTCAGTATCATCTTGTGCAAGCCAAACAAACACTGTATCATGTGCCCACCCAAAGCCATGCATCCAATTAAGCATGTGATCATTTTGTTTCTTATTGAAATTTCAGTAAGCATACATACCCGGGTTCCTTATGACATCATCATTATACTTACACATACTCATCACATCACTCACTTCCCTTGCCTCCTCCTCCTGGTCCCTTATCCCTAAACAGATGCCTGTTTCATCACACACACACACACACACACACACACACACACACACACACACACACACACACACACCACACGCACACACACACACACACACACGCACACACACACACACACACACACACCCACCACAGGCATGCACACAACACTTAAATCTGGGTTCTGTATATGAGTGAGAACACATGATGTTTGTCTCCTTTTTCCTTTCCATATCTTCTTTTGTTCCCCTCCCACCCCAATTAGGTTCTATCCTCTCCCATGCAGCTCCTCATTATATACATATGTATTTAAATCTAAATTAAATCCATTAGAAAAATGTGATACTTCTCCCTGTGTCTGTCACACATGTATCCCTTAACCCGATGTCTTCAGTCACACCCACTTGTCTGCAGATGATGTGATTTCATTCCTCTTTGTGCTTGAACAGAACTCCATTGAGCACAACATAACATTTTCCTCATCTGCTCTTGTGTGGCATCTAGGCTGCCTCCATATATTGGCCATTGTGAATGATGTGGCCGTAAACACGACTGCGCAAGTGTCTCTGTGGTGTGCTGACTAAGAATCCTTCAGGTGGACTCCCAGGATTGTACAGCTGGATCACAGGGTAGTTTCAGTTCTGCGAAGAGCCTCCATATTGATTTCCTCAGAGTCTACACTAGTTTATGTTCCCATAACTACATGATCTTGATAATATCCACACACCATACTACATAAACCATGTAATACACCATATGCACACAGCACACACATCATCTGTCCACACACCACACATCCACTGACATACCACACACATTCTTCTTTGTACTTAAAAGCAGAAGCAAGGCTCAGGATGACCATCAAGCTGGGGTTGGGGAGGTTATCTCTCTTACAAGGCACAGCCAGCCTGCCTTTGAGGATAGAGGCCTGGCCTTCTGGCTACTTTTGCTGACATTCCTCAATAAAGGATGCTGCTTCCAGGTCTGTGGAAAGCTCCTGGCATGCTTTTTAAATTTTTAACTTGACATGTTTAAGTTGTCTTTTTAATGATTATGAGGTAGCAAGGCCTTTGTGGGCATTTATTTCCCTCATGTTAGTAAGGGAAGAGATAGGGGTGAAGGCACGAAAAGGAAATGAATGAGCTCATATTTGAGCTGTGATGACTGGTTTGAAAGCAATTAATTGGCTGTCACTCTAACAGAGATTAATGTTTTTATTAGTGTATACTGCTGAAATATTGTGTCTACAATGAGCCTGGCATGCCAATATGCTAGAGACTTGGGAGGAAATGGTCTACTCTACTCATTCATTCATTCATTCATTCATTCATTCATTCATCATTCACTTGATTCTCTTCACTGAATGCTCTCTTCAGGCTTCTTGTCTACCCATTGTCTGCTGCCACTCCCATGATGCACCACACAGTGAGACACACAGTTGTCTTTTACTCTGTTTGTTCCAAGCCAGTTGCTTCTTAAGCACAGTGTGAATCTTTTGCTTGTCTCTATTCATAGTTCAAAATAATAATCCAGTATCTAGACATTTCAGGACAGGAAATTTACCAAACAGAAAAACAGGATAAAAATTATCTGTAATTAGAATGGATGCATCCTTTTCTAGCACACACACACACACACACACACACACACACACACACACACACAATGGTGTATTCATCTATACCTATAGTATTTTTAAATATATTTTTCCTAAAGTGTAATGCACAGCCTATAAAGCTAACTCTTCTTGGTAAACAGTACCAAGAGTGTGCCAGAGGCATGGAGCCATGCTATTGCCCATATAATTACTTGGCTCTCCATTTCCATCACATTTCTGTGTTGGTCTATATCATTTTAAATATAGATTTACATCACTCTTTACACAATGCACTGTACTCCACCAGGCTGCATTTATTTTACAGATGGAAACTTTTTTTGAAACAGGGTTTCTCTGTGTAGTCAGTCCTGGCTGCCTTGGAACTCATTCTGTATGTAAAACAGGCTGGCTTCAAACTCACAGAGATCCTCTTGCCTCTGCCTCCCAAGTGCTAGGATTCAAGATGTGCCCCATCACTGCCCAGCTGTATGGAAACTTCATCACCTATTTTCTTCGTGTTTGAGAGTCTCTTCCCATTAGTACACACACCAGTGCAGGAGGGTACCCAAGCTGCTGGCTCACTCACCGGCACACTGAACACATGTATGGAATGAAATATAGTCCAATAAAGGTGGGGAAATGGGACAGTTACCTGGAATCTCTGGGTTAACAGTAAGTCTCCCATGGTTCTTTTTTTTTAATTATAAACCTTTCAGAGCCAATTCCTTGATCAATTGTTGTCTGATGGGGAAGTACTTCTGTGTATGTTTATCTTATTGATTGTTTAATTAAGTTCTGTTTGGCCAATGAAACAGCAAGTTAGACAAGACTAGGATTCAAAGAGGATTCTGGGACATGTAGTAGAGAAGTGGTGATCCAGGCAGGAAGTGACATAGCAAGGAGACTCATATTTAAAGAAGAAGAAACAGGAAGCATCCCTCTTTTCCCCTTCGCTCCTGCTCCAGCAGCACAATATGATCCACCGGCAAGGAGGGATGCCAATAAGGCATCCGATAAGATCAGTCTTATAAAATATATAGGTCTATGATAGTTAAGACTGAGCTAACAGATAAGAATCCTAGTCATTGGCCAAGCAACATTG